TCTTTGATGATGAGGGCCTCTGCTGCTGCCGTCGACTTCGTTGGAACCGAGTCGGTCAGCGCAGCGTCTGCCCCTAGCGGAAGACGCCGCGCCGGCAAGGGCAAGGAGGGCAAGGGCGCTGGAGGGGCTGGCGGGGGCGGTGGAGGTGGTGGTGGAGGCGGCGGAGGGAGTGGGGGTGGCGGTGGGAGTGGTGGCGGGGGTGGGGGCTTCAGTGGCGGCGGTGAAGGCGGAGGCGGCGGCGGCGGTGGCGATGGGAGCGGAGGAGGAGGCGGTGGCAGCGGTGGAGGAGGTGGCGGCGGTGGCGGAGGTGGAGCTGGTCGGGGTGGCTGTGCGCAGCGGAGCGGCTTCGGTGGTGGTCAGCGCCAGCAGCAGCAGCGCACTCTTGAGACCCCGCCCCCCCAACAGCTTCGTGAGTGGTACGCTGCGCGTCAGCGGGGTGGGGGTGCTGGTCCTTGTGCCTACCTCCTGCGTACCGGGGACCGCACTGATGAGCCGTGCGGTGGCCCGCACACCACACAGCGCTGCTTCGGCCGCCGGACGCACGCTTGGAGTCTCCAGTTCCCTGACGCCACTGAGATCCCCCGCTGGGGCGAGCTGCTTAGGTCGGGGGTTGCTACCTTCGATCTGGATTATGATGCTATTCTTGCTGCCATGTATGTTGTGTCTACTAGTGATGAGGGTGACTGTTACCTGTGTGTTCCGCCTGACCCGGGCATTGAGGCTGCTACTCTAGGTGCTGGTGAGGCTGCTGCTCTAGGTGCTAGTGCGTCTGCTGCCCCAGGTACTGGTGCGTCTGCTCAATCAGGTACCACGTCGGCTCAGGCCTTACACACCTTCACCCTTGACTTGAGGCTTCCCGCTCCTTCTTTCGAGACCGCACCACGCTTATGCCGCTTAGTCGGCCAGTTGCGGTCTCCCTGGCGGACCCCTCTCGGGGTCCTGTCCTTGCCCACTTCTCCACTGTCTTACCGTGTCCGGCGGCCCCCTCTGGCACCCTGTCAGGTCTCTATCTCCCCTCGTTCTCTACAAACGTGGTGAGTGGTGCTGATCTACAGGATGGGGGGGTTGATCAGTTCACTCCTACTGCTCTCTCCGTAGGAGCTGCTCACTCCGCAGGAGCTGCGCGACTGGTTTGCCCGGTGCTGGAGCCGTGCTGCTGGAGGTGGAGGTACTACTGTTGCTGATGGTCCCGGAGGTGTTCGTACTGCAGGTACAGGAGCTGCTAGGACTGGGGTTGCTGCTGGGGCTGCTGGAGTTGGTCCTGCTGGAGGTACTGCTGGAGCTGCCGGCGGTACTGGAGCTGCTGGTCCTGTTGGCGCTGGTGGTTCTGCTGGCGCTGGTGCGTCTAAGGGTGCTGGAGTTGGCGCTATTGGAGCTCGAGGTGCTGCTGGCGCTGGTGCTGCCGCTGAGGGTACTGGTGCTGTCCCTTCTGGTTCTGGAGGCGCTGCGCGGCCGAGGCCGTACTTGGTTCCGCTCCTTGAGCAAGTTCTTGGTCTCATGCCCTCTACTGGTCCTGCTCCTCCCTTAGAGTGTCCACAGCCTGTCCAAGTCGCGGTCACAAATATAGCCCGCCTCCCCCCTACCTACTCCTTCTCCCTATACTGGTCCTACTGGAGGTCTTGCTGAGCGTCGTGAGCCTGCGTCTCGTCCTGCGTCGCCTGTTCGTGCTGCTCGCACTAAGTGGTCCTGCTTCGTGTCCGCGTCCACATGCGGTACCAGGCACACACCAGATGTCACTATATCCTTCCACTACTCCTCTGCGTGTCCCATTGCCGTCTCCTCCAGAGTCCTCTCTTCTTGTTCTTGCTAACCCGGAGTCTCACTGTCTTCGTGCTGCCAGTCCTACTGTTACGCGTCTCCTAGCTACTGTTGTCACTGACCCTTCCTTTGAGTCCACTGCTGCGTCTGCCCTAGTTGCTGAGCTTGTCGACTTTGCTGCTCGCTGTCGTCTCGACTACTCTGCTAGTCTTGTTGCCGAGTATGAGTCTCTCTGTACTCCGTCCGTCGGGGGTGAGTGTGCTCTTAGCACGGACGTCCTTGAGGACAGGCAGGAGGAGTTCCAGTGTTTTGCTGCTGCTTTGCCTTATCTCGTGTCCATGCTGATCGCCCCTAAGGGAGACCTGGATGCACCAAACATCCTGACTCCTTGATCGTACGCTGAGGAGACCGAGGGTCCCTACTCCTCACAGTGGCAGTCAGCCATGGACGCGGAGATGGCTTCTTGGAAGTCCACAGGCACCTACGTCGACCACGTTCCCCCACCAGGGGCGAACATCGTCAGTGGCATGTGGATTTTCAGGGTGAAGCGGCCGCCGGGTTCTCCGCCTGTCTTCAAGGCGCGTTACGTGGCTCGAGGCTTCAGTCAGCGGCAGGGAGTTGACTACTTTCAGACCTTCTCTCCCACCTTGAAGATGACCACTGTTCAGGTGCTGCTGCACATAGCCGCTCAGCGTGACTACGAGCTTCACTCTCTTGCCCTTGCCTCCCTTGCCCTTGCCGGTGCGGCGTCTCCCGCTAGGGGCAGACGCAGCGCCGAGCGACTCGAAACCAACGATGTCTGCCGCAGCAGCAGAAGCAACAGAGGGCAAGAGGGGGGAGGGGGAACACCCCTCAAAGACGGGGGTGCGAGGGTCACCACGAGAGGCTCCTACATCGACTATGCTCTTCTCTGCTGCTAGGAGTCGCTCCTCGAGGAGGTCAACGGTGAGTGTGGTGGGGCAAACCTGAGAGGAAGTGGTCCCTGACTAAGCGAAGTCAGTCAGGGAGTCGGGTGACTATGTAGTAGAGGGTGATGTACATGGGGGGGGAGTTCTTGGCACAGAACTCAGCAGGAAGCACAGCACGTTAGCGAGTGTCACTAGTGCAAAGGTGCGTAATGAGGTCAGCGACTGTGGGAAAGGCAGCAAGGTCAGAGAACAGGTACGGCAGCATGAGGCTGCTAAGCGCAGCAGTGGCAGTGGAGGAGTAGTGTGCAACTACAGCGTCGTACACCGGTCTTAGCACTCTTGCACTGGCTAAAGTGCGCACGCCCAGTGGTCGGTAAGTGGCGACGCACAGCAAGACGGGCAGCAGCATCGCGTGTGGCCTACTATGAGCAAACAGTGCTGTCAGCAGTAGCAGGCGGGGCAGGTTAGGCACCAGAGGTGAGATCGAAAAGGGAGAGTACGTCTGCCCTATCGCACTGTAGGAACAGCTCGAGGTCATCGACCCAAACCTCAAAGTCAACAGCACGACCCTCAGCATCAAAGGTAAGGACACTGGGGGTAGCCATGGCTGCAGTGGCCTAGCAGGGAGTGATCTCACCAGTCCGAGTAAGTAGGGCCGGGGCGCGCCGGTAGGAACAGTAGCGGCTGGACGGCAGGGCGGCTCGGCGGCTCGGCTGCTGGGCGGCTCGGCGGCTCGGTTGCTGGGCGGCTCGGCTGCTGGGCGGCTCGGCGGCTCGGCTGTTGGGCGGCTCGGCTGTTGGGCGGCTCGGCGGCTTGGTTGCTGGGCGGCTCGGCGGCTCGGAGGCTCGGTTGTTGGGCGGCTCGGCGGCTCGGCTTCTGGGTGGTTTGGCTGCTCAGCTGCTGGGCTGCTCAGCGGTGAAGGGGCCGGTAGAGGCAGCGACGGGGCCGGTCGAGGCGGCGACGGGGCCGGTAGAGGCGGCGATGGGGCCGTTAGGGGCGGCGACGGGGCCGCTAAGGGCGGCGAGGTGGCCGCGAAGGGCGGCGACGGGGCCTCCAGGGGCGGCGATGGGGCTGCTAGGGGCGGCGACGGGGCCGCTAGAGGGTCCGCAAGGGGCCTAGAGGGGCGGCGACGAGGCCGCGAAGGGGCCGTAAGGGGCCTAGAGGGGGCGGCGACGGGGCCGCAAGTGGCGGCGACAGGGCCCCAAAGGGGCCGCGAGGGGCCTAGTGGGGCGGCGACGGGGCCGCTAGGGGCGGCAACTGGGCCGTGAAGGGGCCGCGAGGGGCCTATAGGGGCGGCGACGGGGCCTAGAGCGGCGGCGACGGGGCCGTGAAGGGGCCGCAAGGGGCCTAGAGCGGCGGCGACGGGGCCTAAAGCGGCGGCAACGGGGCCGTGAAGGGGCCGCGAGTGGCCTAGAGGGGCGGCGACGGGGTCGCTAAGGACGGCGACGGGGCCGCTAAGGGTGGCGCGAGGGGCCTCTAGGAGGGCGCGACGTGAGGGCGGACTACGGGGCACGCCTCGGGCAGGTAAAAAAGATCGAGTTAGGTGGTAGGCCCTGAGAAGCGTTCCCACGAGGGAACCTGCTCTATACCATGTGAAGAATGAGGAATGAATGAACTAGCAAGCAGGTGGGTACAAGTAGGAAAACCTAGAAATGTTGTACCCCATATAGTCTACCCCACTACAGCCTACATAGACTATAGCATATAAGTTTGACAGAAACTCCAACTTTTTCGCCATGGACTTGAGGAGTGTTCGGAAAACGGTTCGAGGGGCAGTAGGAAAATAGCGCGGAACTGGTTTACGTACCAGAAATCGGTGCTTTTCGTCGTCGCCCCCGTGGTTTTAAAAGCTAGGTTTTAGCGGTCGAAAAAATTCGCATTTAAACAGGCTCTGATTACCAAGTCTGAGGATCTAGGATCGAGCTTTGGAAAGAGAATTGTGAATTGAATGATTCACCCGGGTACAACACCAGGCCACTTACCCAGGTGTTACGCGAATGTTCCGAGGGGTCGTGAAGCGCCCCGAACAGGACCTTCCCAAACTCAGTAGAAAACAATTCGGTGGAAACCGAATAGGCTTGAGTTCTGTGCACGTAACTTGGTTCGGTGCTATAACTATAATAACATATAGGAACGTGCCTAACCTAGGAAATCAAGAATATCTATGCATAATAAAATAAACCCAAGCTAGATATAGCATAATAAAGTCCAGGCAAGCTAGCAAAGCTAGCATATGCCGTCGTATTCTCACATGCAAGCTGCCCTGCTGGCCACTGTCCTGCTTTGCCCTGCATGCGTATTGCCCTGCTAGCGCGCCCTACTGCTCTGCCCGCTATGGCCATTCTCAGTGTACTTTCGTTCGATTCAGAGGGCCGTCCAATACAGTCCGACGCGTGGCTAGATGACTTGCAGCAGTACTTCCTAAGCGATTCTAGGGACGGTGTCTCGCTGTTTGACCTCATGTCTGGCGTCTCTCTCGCCCCTCCCAGCCCAGCTTACAGTGCGACTCGCTCACAGTGTCTTACCCATGACGCTGCTGCTCGCCTAGCCGTTCGCAACAACCTGCCGTTAGCCGAGCGTGCTCACTTTGGCCAGCACAAGACTGCTAGAGCCCTGTACGACGGTGTAGTCGCTCGTTACTCCTCCCTGGCCACTGTTGCTCTAGGCCGTCTTATACTGCCTTACCTGTTCCCAGAGCTGTCCGCCTTTGCTACAGTCGCCGACCTCGCCACTCACCTTTGCACTAGTGACGTCCGCTACCGAGCCGCGCTTCGTGCCAAGTTTCTAGCCAAGAACCTTCCTCCCATGTACATCACACTCTACTACATCGTCACCCGCCATCCTGACTCTCTTGGCGCACTCAAGGACCTCCTTCTCGCCCTTGACCCCACAGCCCTCACTGTCGACCTGCTCGAAAAGCACCTCCTTGCAGCTGAGACTAGCATAGTCACTGTAGGCGCTTCTCGTGGCACTCCTTGCACTCCCTTCTTTGAGGAGTGTTCCCCCTCCCCCCTTGTCCCCTTTGTCGCTTTTGCTGCTGCTGTTGACTTCCTTCGTGCTGAGGAAGTCGGGTCAGCGTCTGCTCCTAGAGGGAGGCGCCACAACGGCAGGAGCAAGGGAGGTCAGGGTGGTGGGGGTGGCAGCGTTTTAGGTGGTGGTGGGGGCGGTGGAGGTGGCAGTGGTGGCGGAGGGAGTGGTGGTGGGAGTGGAGGCGTTGGTGGCGGCAGTGGTGGCGGCAGTGGTGGCAGGAAGTGGGGGTGGTGGCGACGGCAGTGGTGGCGGCAGGGAGTGGTGGCAGTAGTAGTGGTGGTGGTGGGGGTGGAGCTGGTCAGAGGGGAGGTTTTGGCGGTGGCCAGAGGCAGCAGCAGCAGCATCCGAGCGAGACCCCTATGCCCTAGCAGCTTCGTGAGTGGATTGCTCAGCGTGGGGCGTCTGGAGGTAGTGGTCGCTGCCCGTATGTCATTCGCGCAGGTGTTCGCACTGGCCAGACATGCGGAAAGCTTCACACCTAGTACGGCTGCTTCTCCCGTCTTAACGACGCCTTACGCGCAGAGTTTCTCGACGCGGCTGAGCTCCCCCGCTGGGCAGAGCTGCTTAGGCAGGGTGTGGATATATTTGCTCTTGATTATGATGCTATCTTTGCTGCTATGTATGCATTGACTGTTAGTGCTGAGGGTGATTGTTACATGTGTGTGCCGCCCGACCCCTGGAGGACAGCGTGTGGCGATCTGTACGTGTGCCCGGTCTGGCCGTCACATGGCCACGTTCATTTGTCGGCCTGAGTCAAGTTTGTACACTCTGACTACTGAGCCTTCTCAGGTAGCTGCGTCTGTGTCCGCGTCAGGTCAGCATTTAGCCCCCTACACGTATCGCCATCTGTCGCACCGGACTCTCCTTTGGCACCACCATCTTGGTCACCCCTCCCTGCCACGTCTCCGTGGCATGCACTCCCGTCTCCTTGTCTCTGGTCTTCTGTGGTCTCTCCCTGCCCTCCCGCGCTCGCGTGCTCCGCTCTGCCTTCCCTGCGTCGAGGGGCGGCAGCGCGCCGCTCCTCACTCCTCCTCGTTTCCCCCTACAGAGGTTCCCCTGCAGACTCTTCAGATGGATGTGTGGGGCCCAGCCCGCGTCCGTAGACAGGGCCAAGAGCTGTACTTTCTGCTGGTTGTTGACGACTACTCGCGTTACACCACGGTCTTCCCCTTGCGCAGCATAGGGGAGGTCCTTGATGTTTTGATCCCTTGGATCCGCGCTGTCCATCTCCAGCTCCGCGAGCGGCTCGAGACGGACCTTCCTGTCCTGCGTCTGCACTCTGACAGAGGTGGTAAGTTATCCTTCAACCTCTTGCGGGACTTTTGTCGTAGGGAGGGCATTCGCTAGACATTCACGCTTCCGGCCTCTCCGCAGCAGAATGGGGTTGCTGAGCGCCGCATTGGCTTAGTCATGGAGTTCGCGCGTACCTCCATGATCCATGCGGCTGCCCCCCATTTTCTTTGGCCGTTCGCGGTCCGGTACGTTGCGCATCAGCTCAACCTCTGGCCCCATGTCTCCTTGCCGGAGATCTTGTCGACACTGCGTTGGACGGGGGAGGTTGGCGATGCGTCGGTGTTCTGGGTCTGGGGATCTCGTGCCTTTGTTCGCGATACTTCCGCAGACAAGCTCTCCTCCCGCGCCATTCCCTATGTCCTCCTTGGCTTTCCCCCTGTTGTGCCTGGCTGACATTTTTACCACCCCACCTCGCGCCGTATGAAGCCTTCTCAGGACGCCACGTTTGACGAGTCGGTTCCCTTTTACCGTCTCTTCCCCTACCGCACAGCCCCTCTCCCCCCCCCCACCACTCTTCCTCGCACCAAGTCCTCCTCCGGTAGACCCCCTCCCCCCTCAGTGTCCTGCTCCCCCAAATGTGTCACAAGTAGACCCTGTCGAGCCTGTCGAGGTAGCTGTCGACTCTAGTGCTGCTAGGGGTGCTGCGTCGGGGGTTGTTGAGCCAGCGGGGGCGAGGCCTAGGGGTGCCGAGCCTTAGCGTGCGGAGCATAGGGGGTGTTGAGCCTCGATTTGTTGAGTCTAAGGGTGCGGAGCCTGGCGATGCTGAGCCTGAGCGTGCGGGGCCTGGGGGTGCTGAGCCTAAGCGTGCGGAGCTTGGGGGTCCTGAGCCTCGAGGTACTTTGTCTGCTGGTAGTCCCCCGGGTGTCCCATCCCGACGGGAGCCTCTCTCTCCACCGCAGCTGCCCGAGCGGTTTGCTCGGCGCTGGAGACTTCAGAGTGGCGCCGCTGGAGCCGGGGTGCCTGTCGTTGGAGGCCCTATCGCTGGAGGCACTAGAGCTGCTGGCGGTGGAGGTGCTGGAGCAGCTGGTCTAGGAGATGCTCGTACTGGATGTGAGGATCTAGGATCGAGATCAGAAAAGAGAGTTTGAATTGAATGATCACCTGGGTACAACACGAGGTTATATATAGGCTCGACACAAGGCCTAGTAACCAGGTGTTACACGAAGGTTCCGCGGGTTGCGAAGCGTCCCGAACAGATCCTTCTCGAATTCGGTAGAAGGCAATTCGGTGGCAACCGGAAAGCCAGAATTCGGTGCATGCAACCTAGCTCGGTGCTATAGCTATAATAAAATATAGGAAAGCATCTAGCCTAGGAAATCAAGCAATTCATACATGCATATAATTATCCTATGCTAGAAATAGCATAATAAAGTAAAGGCAAGCAAGCATAGCTGGCATAAGTCGTCGTACTCTCACACTGGAGGTCCTGGAGCTGCTGGAGTTGGAGGTGCTGCAGGCACTGGAGCTGGAGGCGCTGTCGCTGGAGGTAGTGGAGGTGCTGGAGCTGCTGGTACTGGACGTGCTGGAGGTGCTCGAGCCGCTGGTCCCGGAGGTGCTCGTAGTGGAGGTACTGGAGCTGCTAGAGCTGCTGGAGCTAGATGTGCTGCAGGCGGTGTAGCTGGAGCTGTTAGAGGTCCTGGAGCCGTTGGTCCTGGAGGTGCTCGTCCTGGAGGTACTGGAGCAGCTGGAGCTGGTGGTGCTGCAGTCGTTGGAGCTAGAGAACCTTGAGATGGAGACCCCAGAGCTGGAGGCGCTGGCCTTGGGGGTGCTGGTGTTGTTGGTACTGGGTCTGGAGGCAATGTGCGGCCACGACCGTACTTCGCTCCACTGCTTCAGCAGGCTCTTGGTCTTTTGTCTTCTACTGGCCCTTCTCCTCCCATACTGTGTCCACCGCCCGACCATTCTCGGCCGCAGTTACAGCCAGCCTCCCCACTGCATGCTCCTACTCCTTACACTGAGCAGACAGAAGGTCTTACTGAGCATCGTGAGCCTGCGTCTCGTCTTGCCTCGCCTATTCGCGCTGGTCGCACTCCTAGTCGTGTTCCGCGTCCGCATCCTCCTCCTGTCCCCAGCACTCACAATATGATACCTCGTCCTTCCTCTGTTCTACTGCGAGTTCCCCTATTGTCTCCACCTGCGTCCTCTCTTCTTGACGGTTCGGACGCTAAGTTTGACTTCGTTCGTGCTGCCAGTCCTACTGTCACACGTCTTCTAGCCACTGTTGTCATCGACCCTTCATTTGAGTCTGCCGCTGCGTCTGCCCTACTTGCTAAGCTTGTTGACTTTGTGCTGCCTGTCGTCTCGACTACGCCGCCAGTCTTGTTGCTGAGTCTGAGTTTGTCTGTCCTCCATCCCTCGGGGGTGAGTGTGCTCTTGGCACGGACGTCCTTGAGGATACGCAGGAGGACTTCTTGCAGCTGCTGTACTTCATCTCGTGCCCATGCTAATTGCACCTGAGGAAGACCCGGATCTACCAGACATCCCGACCCCGCGCTCTTACGCAAAGGCGAATACGGGTCCCTACTCCCCTTAGTGGCAAACAGCCATGCTTGTAGAGATGGCATCCTGGAAGTCCGCAGGCACTTACCTCGACGCAGTTCCCCCTCCTGGGGCGAACATGGTCGATGGCATGAGGATTTTCAGGGTGAAGCGGCCGCCGGGTTCTCCGCCTGTCTTCAAGGCTTGTTACGTGGCACGTAGCTACGGTCAGCGACAGGGAGTTGACTTCTTTCAGACCTTCTCCCCTACCCCAAAGATGACCACTCTTCGGGTACTGCTGCACGTCGCTGCTCAGCGTGACTACGAGCTTCATTCTCTTGACTTCAGCACATCATTCTTATAGGGCAGCCTGCACGAGGAGATCTAGCTGTGCCGCCCACCTGGCTTCACTGGGTCGTTTCCTGCAGGTACCTAGTGGAGCCTCCAACAGCCAGTCTACGGTCTCCGCCAGTCGCCTCGCTAGTGGCACGACACATTGAAGACGACACTTGCGGCTCTTAGGTTTGCTCCTTCGACTGCTGACCCGTCGCTGTTGATACACACTGACACTTCGCTGCCACCATTCTACATCCTCGTGTATGTAGACGACTTGGTCTTTGCGACTGCTGACACAGAGGGACTAGCCCTAGTGAAGTCGGAGCTGCAGAAGAGACACACGTGCACAGACTTGGGTGAGCTGCGGAGCTATCTTGGCTTGCAGATCATGCGGGACAGAGCACAGTGCACCATTACCTTCACTCAGTCACACATGATGCAGCAGGTCCTTCAGCGCTTCCGCTTCACGCACTCCTCACCACAGGCCTACTCCTCTGCCTGTCGGTCACTCGCTCTCAGCTCGGTCTTCGGACAAGTCCGCAGAGCCGAGTGGCCCGTATCCAGAGCTTGTGGGCTGCCTCATGTACCTGATGACCTACACTCGACATGACCTAGCCTACCCTCTTAGCATCCTGGCACACTACGGTGTGCCCGGGAGACACCGACAAGAGCACTGGAAAGCCGCTAAGAGGGTGTTGCACTACTTGTGCAGTACATCGGGCATGGGGCTTGTGCTTGAAGGTCGGGCTCGAGTTGTCCTCACTTGGACACGCAGACGCTTCTTGGGTTGACGACTTGGCCAGCCATCGTCACAGGGCTACACTTTCAGCCTTGGCTCTGGCTCTGTTTCTTCGCGGTCCACCCGCTCGTCTTCTGTTCTCAGTTCCAGTTGTGAGGCTGAGATCTACGCAGGGGCCATGGCTGCATAGGAGTTATTGTGGCTCACCTACCTGCTGACCGACTTGGGAGAGCGGCCTAGTTCTCCTCCAGATTTGTACCTTGACAACAAGGCCATGAGTGCCTTATGTCAGGAGCACCGACTGGAGCACAGGACGAAGCACATTGCTCTGCCTTACTTCCTTGCTCGAGAGTTGCAGCAGCGTGGTCAACTTCGTCTTGCTTACGTGGCCTCTCGGGCCAACACTGCTGATATCTTTAGGGGGTACACTTCTCTAGGGTTTACTACTTGTACTCCAACATCTTTCTAGTTCAACACTTCTTGATTCTGACATGTTATTAAGAGCTCAGGTTCTAGACCTAGGACTTACCTAAGGGCCCACCGTTAGAAGCGCCCTCGAGCGCCGTATCGACTTAGCGCCCTCGAGCGCCTCTCTCCTAGTGCGCCCTCGTGCGCCTCTCCTTCTCCTGCTGCCCG